GAAATGGTACAAATTAAGAAATGGTTTGCAGCTTATGTGAGAATCATGTATAACATACGAGAGAAGACTTGGGACTCTTATTTTTCCTTGAGTCCTCAATCTAAATGCTGGAGGATTCGTTATTGTATGCAACTTCTCTAGTAGACCGATTGCTACCGAATGGATTATTATTGCATGTACATTATAGAATTCAGCATTGAGTGGACTTATCCAATATTCCTCGGCTCGACTTGATCCGTAGTGGGAGCGTCTCTACTCTGATATTTCGACTGACCGGATTCATACGTCTAGCGTTAGCATTTTCGGCAGATGCACGGAGTCTTTTGGGCGTTGTAATTGAGGCCAGTCCAAGCCAACAAGGGGTTTTGTGGAGATTAAGGTTATTGAACGGGCTGGTATATCGGTGGTCTCAGTCGCAAAACGTGGTATGGCTTAGATCCAGGACGCGTCGGGGATGGATGATGAAGGAATATAAACTCCACCGAGTTTACTATGTAAATATTCACGCACGCGTAGTTGGGTCCGGACCGCTGCTCATGTACATCTCACGTTGCTAAAGCGAATAGCGCTGGTCGAATGGGAGTATGGCAAGAACAGAGCCTATGAGAACATCGAGACAATTATCCAAGGGTAGGTGGGGCTGAAATAAGGCTTAGACTAGAAACTAGTTTTTGGCGGACATTGACTGAGCGGGATGCATGGTATCCGCTTTGTTCAGGACGCCAACTTTTTTGCTGATCTAGCCGATTAGATATGGTAGTACGTGAGTCTATGGAGCACTTCATACTGAGACTTGGCTGATTGTTTTCTTATATCCGAGCTTCACGTTGTAGGGCCGGTAAGCTTAAATTTGGGCTGGCCTGTGTCGAGTGCTGTTTCGGTCAGTCTGTCAAATGAATCGCTTTCTTCGCTTTGCCCAGCGATTGCGCCGCTACAAAAAACCGACATTGTTAAAGGGCCCAAGCTGGTGTAGAAAGAGATGTGAACATGGTAGTGGGTATGAGGCGAGAAGTGTGAGCTAGGAAAAATATAGGAAGGTTTATGCATGTCTACATAAACACAATGCAGCGAAGCTTCATAAAGATATGATGGTGGACCGCTGCATAGACAGGCACATCCACACTCTGATTGGTGTAAAGAGTGTGTTGAGAATCTGCAAGGGTCATAGGAAAATAATGTTGGCTTGATCAGCCAGGTGTCAAATGAACACACGCAAGCATCCTCAGAGCCTTTTAACCAACTCAACACCAGAGTGTGAGGAATCATTACCACCGAAATCATTCATCTAGGAGCGTGAATTCTACTCACCAAATCTGGGCCTCACATGAGTAACGAGCGTGTATTAAAGTCCGGATGACCTCATACCGCAATACATGGGCGTGACATGCCTGAGGAGTCGGACGCGGCCATTGGTGCAATATTCGGTTGGACGGGGAACCACGGACCAGGCGGATCGAGGATACACTAAAGTCGACTGGGTGATTGGCGTACCCCTGTAAAGTCAGAGGTCAGGGCGACGACCACTTCCTGCAGCGATCCCAGTCCTCATTCTCATCATCGCCAGTCAGGATGTCTGGAAAAGCGAAAGTGTCATTGGACCAATCGCAGCAAATTTATCCCAATTTGCATGTCGTAATATCCTCCAATCTGACAGCAGAGCCGGGGTTGGGGAGATTGTGGAGGGAAGTCGGCTAGAGCGATCGAGCCCATGGCACGTGACAAATCACATGACTTAGACGCCCACCTCGGAGCAGTTGGATGCAGACGAGGAATGTTCAGCATGGGATCTAGCGCAGACGCGCAGATTTAGGAATGAAAATAGCCCTGAGAACTCCAGGTGAAGTTGGAAGGCGGAGGAAGGGAAGGAATTGAATCGTTCGCCGAGAGAGAGGTGCCTGGCGGAAGTAGATGATGCTGCTAGTCTTGCGCTGCGAGTTATCTCCGCAGAATGAGCGTGTCGACCGTCGTCCAGGAGCTACTCGCGCTATTCGGTGATGAGATGAGCTGTAGATACGACTCGACTCTCACGGGGACTGGGATCGTCGTGTAGGTCCCACGGCAACAATATACATCGAGCCTCATTTCTCCTTCCCTGGCGTCGCAAGGACGGCATGTAGTGGGACGCAGTTTGCATTACGCGGTGACGGGGGGGGTGTGAAGAAATGCTGTGTGGCTTCTCAAGAGCCGAAATGCTCACCAGGCTCCGCAGATTGAGGTGAGAAGCTCAATCATGAATCTTTCGCACGGCAGTCACATCAAAGGTGACATTGCCCATTCCCAACCAGCCATCAGCCATCTTCCTCCTCCTCGGCCGGCCTCCCGAGGATCCTGTTGCGGTGTCGCCGACTCGGCTTCCAGACGACGAAACACTTAATGTGGCTGGAACTCAACTTCGTATTTGCTGCAGTAGTGTACGCACTAGTGACGACCCACTCCCGTTTCCCCGACGACCATGCGCGCGTCGCAGTAGCCGAGGTAAGCAGAAATGTGGGAGCAGACGGCCGACGAGGACTCTTGCTGAGAGCGAGTCAGCACGCTGCGCTTCGCTGTGTTCCCGGCGACGGCAGCAGCAGCCGGATGAGACGCTGGGATCAATCGGACGGAGAATACGCTTCGACGGTCGCAGGCTTGCTCACTCAATCCTCGACAGTCCTGCTGCTCGGATCTAGCGTGGTGAGTCGAGGCGGCGCTCTTCGACCCACCTCTGTGCAGGGATCATGGCGGTACGGAGAGGTAGAATAGCTGAGATTTGGAGTTTTCTTGCCACTGTGAGCCAGATGGCACCAGTGGCACGTTGCAGACTAGATCTGCCGAGTGTAGACGAGGGAAAAGCGGCGGAAGCTCCATCGTCTTTTGACCTGCTGGCGCCGGATCAGCCCCTAAGCCCTACGCTGTCGGTCCTCATGTGCCTTTAGCTTGGCCTCGACGGCGCGACGGGCATGCAGGCGCAGGGGGAGACTAGTCCACTGGCGTAAGTCTCGTTCTCACGTCCAGCTTCCTCGGTCGACGCGACGGTAGACCTCTAAGCCAACAAAATAACGAGGCTTCCGCGTGTCGGGCCGGTGCAGTCTCCATGGCTGCCATGACCCCCGAGCCGCACAAGGCGCCGTCTTGGTTTAGATGTTTATTCAGATTTATGGCTACAGCCTCTGGCCAGTGGCTCATACAAGTGCTGGATGAATCTTCAGGCCATAGGTCTGCTTGTACTCTGGACTCATTCGCCAAAATCATTACGCCGCTACTTTGTTTACATGGATCAGTCAATGCTCGCCGACTCACCACGACGTGTCTGGCGCCGGCCGCTCGCGATTGGACTGATAGCTGAATGGAGACTGAAAGCAAGCCATGGCCAGTTTGGACGCGGCGTTGTGAACGACGAGGATTAAGCCCGTTCTTGAGTGCAGCACCCCACGCTCACCCCTTCAGCACTGTCAGCCCGGTCCATGGTCGAGGCACATGATGCTCGTCAGTGCGGCCTCATGGCATCCGCAGTGCCCGGCTTCGCGGCGGCGGCCTGGTGCTGTCGTCCCATTTCCCCAGCTGCGCGCTTTCATTAGCCCAAATTCCAGAGACGGGTGGCCCGGCGGAATTGCACGCCGTGCCATTACCCGTCGACGCGACCTAGTCACGTCATCGCATCTCTCTCAAGCAGAGCGCCCGAGACGCCGTTTGCCACGCTCCCGTCGCCGCCGATACTCACGTGACTTATGCATGCCGATGAATTTCCCAAACGAATGTGGCGACAGCGGTTAAGCACATTGTGCACTTTTCATGCTTGTCCCGTGAGGCCGGCCACCAGATATCGTCTTTTTCTCCTCCTCCTCTTCCGCCGCCACCGTCCGAGACTGCAGAGATTGCCAGCTGAGCAGTGAGGCAGACCTCCACGAGGCCGCTGTCTCCGGCCTGCCGTCGTTATTAGTTTGTAGACTGTAGCAGGGGAATCTGGGGCGCAGCTTCTATTCCCTTCCTCAAATTCGCCACCAATCCCCGCCACTCAGCAAATGAGCCAGCCCCCATCCCTTCCGACCTGCCTATTTGGGCTGCGCTCAGACCGCCCTCTCCCGCCATAGCCGCGATAGACGCCGCCCCTTACCGCGCACTATTCACACTCTGCTGGGCGCAGCGCAGACTCGACCATACGGCATCACCACCACCGTCTTGCCGTCTTCCCATCTGACCCCTCGCTCAGCACCCAGAATCCCTTCCTAACTTCTCTTCGTCTCCACTCCTATCGCCGCCCTCCCCACATCTTCACACGCCTTCCAGCCCGGCCTCGTCATCTCTGCTCTTGCCTTCCCCTCCGCCCCACCCACACTGCCCTCAATCACCCTCTCAGTCCCCAATCCGGCGACTGGTGGAGTCACTCTCGGGCCCTCTATCTCTGCTCTCTGTGCCGTCCACCACCATCTCTACTCTCCACGGCACTTGATCCAGCTCCACTCGTCCTTGAGGCTTGCGCGCGCACGCTGCCATCCTTAGCCCTGTTCTAGCTTTCTCTCCACCGTTGGCCACCTCGCTTCTCCCGACATCCCCGAAGCCCGTGTTCTCTGACCAAGTGGTGCCAGTAGCGTCCTTTCTGGCTTCTCGGATCACAGCGGCCTCGTGCTTCTAGATTGTAAGCATCCAGTTCAAACTCACCAGCCGAGGTTGTGTGAGTCTTCTGCGCTGTCGGAAGGGTATAAGACGGCCACTTTTTCTGGGTTGGGGAAAGCCAGAAAAACCTTATTACCATACCTCTAATCACTGACTCTGCCCACACCGACCACCCCGAAATTTTCGTCCAATTTTTTCCCATCGCCAGCGCCTCCCCCTCCATACCACCACCACTACTACCACCACCACTGCTACTATTAACACTACTACAACTACCATTACCACCACCACTACCACCACCACCACCTCTACCACTCACTCACGCTTCCACCAACCCCAAAACTCTGGTGCCGACTCGCCTCCCAACATCGTGGACTCCGATAACCTCACTCTGTGTCGGCCATAGCATGTCCTTGGTCTCCCAGCCTCCCTTCACGAACTCATTCAACTCTAGCACCGAAGCCGGCATCCAACGTTCTAGTCTCGATACGACGGAGGCTACCTTAACTTCGCTCCTCGCCGCCTTTGCAGACTCATCGGACAGCCTGATGGATAGGGCCACCGTGACCGAGTATTCCTCGCAGCAAGACTCACATCCGTCTTTCTCGCACGCCTTGTCCGACCCTCATTCGGAGGAATCTGCTGCCGTCCACGCGTCGACGTCGCACTTTTCTCCTCGTCTCAAGTCGCATTCCGCGTCCCCGCCCGAATACACCACTTACCCGACCTCGGCGCGCTCCACATCCTTTCCCGATCATATCCATCGCCAGCAGAATCATCCCTCTAGCAACCACAGTGGCAGCAGTGGAGGCATGCCTCAATCAACTAGTCCATCGCTGCCGATGCAAGATGGTCGGTCTAATCATCACCATACTCAAATTAAACCTGACCAGGAAACTCCCATAGACCCATCCATCGCCGCATCGAGCCCAACCTATCCTCACCCTGGCCAATACTCACCCTATCATCCTCAGCAGGACCTACCCCAAGGCTTCCCTCCTCACCCCTCGGGCAGCATGTACACCCAGCCCCGACCCGACTGGGCCGGCTATGCTGGTCATCAAAACCATACGCAGCACACAATGCCCGGATCTTATTCGGTCACTGGGCCCCAGACTCCCTCTGCGCCGGTGACCACTGGTGCTCGACCGGGCCAAGTAAGTGCTGATGCTCTCCCCTATTCAACTCGCCCACCCCGTCGCTCATGCCACCAAAATACTCTTAGCCGAGTCCCTGCTAACATCAAATTTTCTCGCAGGTCTACTCGTTCGTGCCCATTCCGGGTGCTCAGCAGCACAAGCGCCCTCGTCGACGCTACGAAGAAATCGAGCGCATGTACAAGTGTGGCTGGAATGGATGTGAGAAGGCCTATGGGACCCTGAATCATCTAAATGCGCATGTCACAATGCAATCTCATGGTATCAAACGAACGCCCGAAGGCAAGTGTTTCCTCCCCTCTACAAATCTGAGTGCATCCTTTCCCCAAAAAACTCATCAGACCCGAGTCAAACCATGGCGAGTGCCGTTGAAGAGTATTCGCGTGCGCACGGGAGGACGCGACTCGGCTACTCGGGTTTAATGCGCTTTAAAAATTGGCTTTCTTAGTTGCATTTTTGGCGTTGAGGCTAGTCAGCAATTAGACGGGGACTCGAAGATAGCTTCACTATCGGGAGCTAGCATGGGTCGACCGAAACTTCGGTAATTTAAGTGTAACCAAACATACGCTAACATGTTCTTCATCAGAATTCAAAGAGATCCGAAAAGAGTGGAAGGCTCGAAAGAAGGAAGAGGAGAATCTACGGAAAGCTGAGGAAGACCGGAATCGTATCGTCGCTCCCAACGATGCCCACACCAACGGCGCTGCACAGTCTGCCTACCCCACCAATGGCCGGTCGGTTCAACTGCCGCCCATTGGATACCAACCCACTGCTCAGGTTGCTAACCAGTATCAAACCTCTTCATCGGCCGGAATCCAGCAGATTCAACAGGACTTTAGCCACGCCCAGTTAGCCTACTCTGGTTACCCTGCATCGCCCTACGGCGCCCCAAGCCAAATGTATAGCTTACACCATTGAACCTTTTTTCTTCCAAATCCCCTCACGAACGGTGCAGCTGACTCGCTTTCCAGTTGATGGTGGTGCAACGCCTGCCCATCTTAGGACGAGTTCAAGAGACCGTCAGTTTATTGCAGCTTTCACATCTCCAGCTGCATCTCACCAACATCCAGACAGGGCCTACAAAGTGTCATGAACACTCGCGCCTCATATTAATCGGCCTCCAACTTGTAACATATCGGCAACCGACTGCACTTGGCTCGTTGTCCCTTGATTGTTTCTACCGGCCCCTAAGTATCTATTTCTTTTATTCTTTCCTCAAGTTGTACTCAGTCCGACTCACACGAAGAATCATCGTTCTATGTGGTCAACTGCTTGGTCGACTCTTAAAAAACAAGCCGTCGGCGAAGGAAAGCAGTCTGGCGGTGCTATCTGGATTCTCTTTAAAAATGGTCTTTTTATAAACGTGTCTACAAGCGGAGTTTCGGGAAAGAGGCCAGTGTTTTTCTGGGTTGGTTGTGTCATTACTCCAACATTAACCATACCACACACATGGCCCCGTTAAATTCACCAGTCCCAATTTAGCGCCACGTCTTAGATAATGAATTTTTGTTTTACCCGAAGCTCTTGATGCTTCTGCCCAGTGATGATATGCTCGCATACTTGCCCATAGAGACTACTTCTCGTCTCAAATATTGCCCTTTATGAACGTGTTCCCTTCCAGACCTCAGTCTTTGGCAATGTTGGTTTTGCCGCCCTCACTCTTCGTAAAATTGATGCCAGTTAAACGGAATGCCTCAAACCTCGATCAGGGAATTCTGTCGTTCATAAAGGCCATAACTATGCAAGACCTTTCCGGGACTTATGGCCTGGCTGAGCGGATGCACAGCCAGCTGATGACAGTGGAGAGGAGAAAATATCCTTGGTGTGTTTGAAGCCATCCAGGCCGAGGGGAGCTGTGAGTAGAGGTCTTACGCTTGCGCTAGACGACGTCTGTAGAGTGAGCTCATCGTTGGCTGGCTCCTCGCAGCTTGTGGTAGCAGTCGTCAAGGCCTTCCACTATCATGCGGACTCCTACGCCCTTGACGATCCCGGATATGGTGGCTGAGCCTCATGCGTCTAAAAGATCTTGGGGTCGAGGGAAGCACGAAACTTGGGGCAGATGTGTGGGAATCGTGAAGTAGGTAGAGAACAGCAATGAGGACTAGGAGAACCCGAGCTAGCCTAGTGTGAATGGCGCCTACTAAGTGCCTCTAGCCTCCGAACCATATTGTGTAGCTGAAGCTCATTTGTGCCCCTCACCAAATACTACATACTTGACGTACTTCATCGCGACGAATTAACAAACCACTATCGGAAATAGTCCAACCACTATTATTCCTGCGGAAAGTCCCAAGAAACCATTTCGCGGGAGAAATCTACCCACTGTCTTAGTCTCTCTCGCATCTTCAACGCACAATCAATCGGTCCATTCATCGAAGTATGTCATGACGACGCAGTACCATGTGGTTACCAGGAGAGACAGCCCCAGTGTTGGCGCAACGCTCAGCAATAATTCTATAGCCACAAAACGAGTTGCATTTATTAGAGTGGAATGAGGAAGGGTGTTTGCTTGACCCAATTACACAGCCAAAACTCCCTCTCAGTTGGGTCGTTTTTAGCCTCGTATCACCACTAGCACTACAGTCGCCAACCATGTAGCAAGATTAATGTAACGACCTTGCCAAATTATTCGCCGCCCGAAACATGACGACTGCCTTCACCGCCTACCGAAAAACTCTATCAACGAGAAGCGTCGAGCATATGCGAATACTTTCACGGGAAACTGTGTCCAAGACTTGGCGGGCTTCAGTCTTTAAGAAATTCGGCCTTGGACTTCTAGTGGCCCTTTAATCAGGCTGCCAAACCATACAGCAGCGGTTCACGAAATCTTCCAAGGCAGTAAAAACGATTTAACCTACGACATTTACGCTGACTCTGTCTGGCTGAAAACTTTTGGCATGTCTCCTCGAGTACTTTCATTGGCAATGGAAGTGAATTTCATCTTCTAGAGATCACTGACACTGCGTAAATAATCCTTTCTCATTAAAGACTCCAGGTCTCATGAGTTGAATAGTGATTCTCCCGGACCTTGGCGGTGCTCTCAGTAGCAAAGGTATTCAAGACTGCCGGCAGCCACAACTCCCTAGCTAATTTGGGTGCCAGCTCTCAAAACATGGAAATTCTTGCTTGCTCCTCTACCCAGTACGAAAATATTGGTTAAGTGCAAAAGGATTCACATTGGCTCTTGTGATAGGCTGAGGGTAGGATCCAATCATTGCTAGTAACGTAATTCATTGGCCACCTTAAATTTTGTGGTCGCTCCAGCCCGATAGTTTGGGAATATCAACTCGTTTCTCAGGCATAATCTTTTGAAATAACTACAGAGATCAGACCGAATTAGGTCACGATCGACTCTTGATAAGCTTGTGAGTACTTGTATACTAGAAGGGCGAGCGTATGGAGGACGAAGATCGAACATATCTCCGCGGTGACCTCTACGAGCCTGGTAGCGAAATGCTCTCCCCGGGCCAAGTTTCGTCAAATTTGGCAAAACTAAAGAAGTTGGTCTACGAGGTAATGATTCAAGATACCCAACGTTAATATTTCATTCCCAATTTGATCGATTCCTACCTCGGCCTCATTAAGCTTGCAAGTAAGTCTCAGCCCATCTTCATTTTAATAAGTACACCTCTCGTCGGCCTCCTCGCGCCCAGTTGGCAATCGAATACTGGTCCATGCCTATATTTACACCCGCTCGAAGACAAAGATTGCGGTACAAAAGTCTAAGAGGCCATTTTTTTGGGATGGGCGGGGAGGACTCGGAAAAAGTTTACAAGGTGATACAAAGGTAGGATATAATCTCGACGGAGGTGGGATTTTGGCAATGAGCTTTCAAATTGAAGAGCATTGTGCGCGCTAAGACTCTGTGAAAGTGCAACTGATGCTATAAAAACAAGCTTATGATGGAAGGTTCCGTGGCCAGCCTCCCAGTGGTTAGCTCCGGCATGGTTTTCATATCCTGGTCACCTACTCCACCTGGCAAGAGAAGCCCCAGATCTCATTTCACACAGAGACTAGTCCATGGATGATGGAGGTTTGTCTAGATAATCGGGGGTTTCGTTAACTTTTCCCTCGATGAATATTCACGGATGAGGCCTGACTTGAAGTGAAGAAAGAGCCGCCGTAACCTCGTAGTGCTTCTTACGAACAAAATTGAGGCATAAGCGCAATGACTTTTGACTGGTTCGTTCATTCTTCACTCGAACTCTGGGATCATATTATAGCTAGATGGCTGCACATGTAATCAAAGTCTGATTTGCTGCTCACAAAGAAATTGCTTAAAAATAGTCAGGAACATAAAACTGCTTCCCTTCCGATAGAAATATATTTGAGACAACAAAGAATTCAAGATGTAGACGGCACTAATTCCCTACCAGTCCGAAATATCTTTCAATCTGTAGGTGGTAAGATGAAGCAGGCTATTAGAGGAAGGGAAGGTATTCTAGCATATAATGGACGGGCAGATAATGCCCACTGGAGGGAGATTTGTGGAGTGGAGTAGGTGCCCAGGCTACTCAGACTATACCCAGAACGCACTCGACTGCCTCGAAAAATTACTACAGCAGACCCTGAGGCTTGGATAGTAGCCAAGGTCTATCAAAGCCGACATTATGGGTGGTACGGAATGAGCTTCCGGGAATCGACACTTTCCCTCTGCCAAAACCTGACAACGGCCTAACTCGTACTCGCACAGAAAAGTACCATGAGTCTACCACCCATGTCGTCTGTGTGGCTACTAATCACAGAATCCTAGGCACATGATCAAATGGCCGAGGAGGGATCTGGAGAAAAACTCGAAAACGTTCCTTTGGAGCTATGACTAGCAATACTGGTGGCATAAAAGGGATCACGCAGTAAATTCTCAGTCATGGCTGGGCAGAACAATTCTGCATGAGAAATGCGCTCGAGATGCTGCTGAGGGAACGAAACAGGATGGGCAAAATATTGGGGTAAACACAGGCGACGTGATTGGTACACCAAGACGGTATTGCAGTGTGACAGGGATTCCTCAAGGCCAAAGCGGAAATTTCAGAGAACGAAGAGATGAGGAGGTTTCCACCGTGTAAATAGATACACAGCTTTGTAGCCGTCTGCGTGGGCCTTGACAGCACCATTCAAGTGTATTCTGCTCCCTAGACATGAGGCAATACATCCAAGGATACATGCTGAATGACTCTTTTGACGTTTGGGTCATTCTTACTCTACATTTCTTTCCAAGATGTCACCTACATGGCCCGCCAAGTCGGTTCAAGTGAAAGCAAAGCGCGATTTCAAATAATGGGCGAGCGTGCCTTGGTAAATTCGCCCCTGATTCCCGCATTGTACCAAGGGAGGCACCGGTGAAATGGGCGCTTGCCCATCAATAACCAGCCATACCCCACTACAAATCACGACGCTGCCTATGCCTGCTACGAGGAATTTAGTCACAATATATCAAGCTCGGCGTCTGATTAGTGCGGGGCGGGGGAGGGGGGCTGCTGCTCAATGGGACTACATGACTTACGGGAGCACAGGCGACTGGGATGTGGAATGTAAGATTGAAGAGATCTAGCGTGGGGATGAAAGGGCAAATTATCGAGAGTTTTCAATTTTGCTACATTTGTGGGCGCCAAGACCGAGATTTCGGCTAATTAGCGAGATGGAGCTAAGTCGTCGATGAGTCGAGTGTGCTCTTCCAATTCCCCTTGCCCGACATTTCAGCACCACTTCTGGCAAGGGTTAGAACGAGGAAAGAAAGGCAGAGCGTGAACTTCCTGAGGTGCCGGCAAGTCTGCAGGCTCGGACGGCCGGCCTCTTCGCATGCTTCAGAAGGTTCACTGTGTCTCTGGGCTTGCTCCCAATTTCGCTACAAGAGCCTCGCACCCAGCAGAATCTTCAACTTTCCTGGCTCCCATAAACCCGCAGATGAGCATCGTTTC